TTTAGTTGGTATTTAAAGTGTGTGCAAAGTCAAAACATTTTTTAGTTTTGGATTCAATACAGAAATGCAGGGGCCCTTGTCAAGCTTTTCCTATGTGTAGATTTTTGGCGATGGAAATTTCCCATGGCCAGGATATATAATTATCAATCTAAATCGTATCATGCTCTTTCCAGGTTGGATTACGCTCTGGTGTCCACTGCGGTTCTACCCTGGGTGCTCTCTTATTTTGTATGTTCCCCAAACAGTTTCAGACCATTCTCTGCTGCAGTTGGAGTTTCAGTTGGGTCATAGGCCTGCCTTTTGGTTATGGAGGCTCAGTCCTCTCTGGATCTCCATGACTGAATTTTAGGAACCCATTTGTACTGACATGATCAACTATTAGGCTGCCAATGAGCACTCCTCTGAGATTGGATATCAGTGGGATGCCTTTAAGGCAGTAATTCGTGGTTCCTATATTTCTAATGTAGTTCTATACTGTACTGTTTCTGGGGCTACCCAACAATGGCTGGAGTCCTCGTTGGCATCTGCACGATCTCAATATGCCTTTCCCCTTTGCTCGAGTCACATGGTGCCTTGATTGAGGCGCATCGTGCCCTACAGCTCCACCGTGTTGACTTGACACATAAATACCAACTATGTTTATCTGCTAAGTTGCATGAACATAGTGTTAAGAATGGCAAACTGTTGGCCTATCTTTCCCGTACAGAATCCATAGACAGCTCAATACCTGCAATCAAATTGCCCAATGGCACGATCTTCTCCGACCCTATAATTATTAATCAGACTTTTGCTCATTTCTATGAATCCCTATACTTGGATGCTGGAGACCCTGCTGAGGACTTCTTTGCAGGCTTTTTTTGCTTCCCTTAAATTTTCCACTCTTAGTGAATACAACCGTTCTCTCCTTGACAAACCATTGACTCTGGAAGAAATATCAGCAGCTATTCGCTCCCTACCCCCAAACAAGACATCGGGGCTAGATGGATTACCCTCTGAATGGTATCAGACATATGGGAGGACCTGACCACACACTTGCATAGTCTTTTCAACTCAGCATTCGAGAATAGATTAATTCCTGATTCCATGAATGAGGATCTAATAGTATTAATACCCAAGCCTGATAAGGACTTGGTGCAGTGGGGGTCATATCGTCCCATATCACTACTTAATAGTGATGTTAAAATATTGGCCAAGCTTCTAGCCACCCATTTACAGAAAGTGATCTGAACCCTAGTGCACCTGGACCAGTCTTGGTTTATGCCTGGACAAAGCACCTTTGACAATAAACGTTGCCTGCATCTGCACATTTATAGGGCCGCGGCAGAGTGGTTTGGTGCTCTCTTTGTATGTGCAAAAAGCCTTTCACAGTTTGATGGCCATTTTTATAGGAAACAATGTCTCAGATGGGTTTTGATTCCAGGTTTGTACATCTATTGTATGCTAATCCCAGAGCCCGTGTCCGTATAGGGATGTGTCTCCAAACTTCCCCTTATGTAGGGGTACGAGGCAGGGTTGTCCCCTTTTGCCTCTTCTGTTTGCCCTGGTCATTGAACCTTTGGCTCTGGTGATTCGACAGACAGCAGCGATAAGGGGCATCCGGGTTGGTTTGCTGGAGGAGAAAATCTCCTTGTATGCAGATAATGCACTGGTATATTTGGATGGCTCTGTGGAGTCATTTTCTGGTCTGATGTGCGTGGTGGAGGAGTTTGGGGAGGTGTCAGGCCTTCAGGTTGGTTGGGACGAGACTTTAGCTTTTCCTATAGGCCCCATGGTTCCCTATGATTTTTTATCTACTTCTAAATTACAACTTGCGACCCAATTTCACTATCTAGGTGTTCAAATTCACTCTGATCGCACTAACTTTGAATCTTTTAATGTTATACCCCTTGTTACACATATGGAAACTAGACTCCATACCTGGGCTACGTTACCCCTTAATTTAAATGGAAAGATTAACATTTTCAAGATGATATATTTTACCCAAATTTGTATATGTATTTAGGGCCTCTCCAATTTTTTTCCCTAGAAAATTATTTTAAAAAATTGACTCCATTTTGACTTCTTTCCTTTGGAATGGATCACAGCTGCGAGTGGCTAGGTCCTCGCTTCAGGCATCTAAGGAGGATGGGAGCTTGGCGTGCCCTAAGCTCCGCAACTATTTTATTGCCTCCCAACTTGCCTGTGTATGCTTTGTTTAATGACACCCTCCCGCCTCCTCCACCATTCTCCTTTCTGCCCAGTATGGTTCTGCAGCCTCTCTTCAGGACACTCTTCATAGGTCTGTTGTTTCCCGGTGCTCCCACCATTCTCAGATAGATACTAGCTGGCTGGCCCGGAGGGAGGGGGGTAAGGTGTTATCCCCATCTGCTTGGTTGTCCCCACAAACTCCCCTGTGGCACAACCCTTATATCCCCGAGCTTCTAGGTCACCCAGACTCATGTTGGTGGAGTCGTCTTGGTGTTACTCATCTCTCACATGCTTTTATAGATGGTTGCTTTCTATCTTTTAATGACCTAAACACCTGGTATAAGACCCTCGAACTTTTGGAATCGTCCCTGGAAATGTTGTTAGAACCAGATATTGCTAAGCTGGTCACTACCTTTTATTCCCGTCTCCAGGAAGCCAGGACTAACCCTTTTCATATTGTTCATAATTAAGTGGAAGGCGGGGCTTCATGGGGTGCTTGAAGAGGGTTGGGAGGAGATGATGGCAGAGGTTTGTTTCCAATATCTCATCAGCACTGCTGATAGGTTTACTCAGTTCAAGTTCATCCATCTTCATTACACCCCAGCTAGGTTGGCCCATATGGGCTTTGGGTCTGCAGCCTCTTGCCCTCATTGTGGCCTTGGGGGTGCGGATCTGTTGCACATGTTTTGGGCATGTCCAGCTCTTGCTTCATACTGGCAGGACCTCTTTACATTTGTGGATAATACTCTACATTTGCCGGTTCCTTATACACCAGAAGTTGATATTTTGAATGATTTTGTACCTCAAACTCAGCCTAGAATATTAATATGTATGCTTCTGTTTTATGCTAGAAAACTTGTCTTGCTAAATTGGAAAAAGTGCTAATCCGCCCTCTATACAGAGATTCTATTGTATGGGTAATCTTGATCTGCCTAAATATAAGATGATCTACAAAGGTCGGACTTGCCCTAAAAAGTATACGAAAATATGGCAACCCTGGCTGGACATATCAGACTCTTTCTGGGGGGATATTCCACTATTGCAGGGTTCTACAACTTGAGAGGTTTTTTTTTCTGCGCTACTGCTGTTTTGGCTATGGACTTTTTATCTCTCCTGTTGTCAATGAGGAATAGGTTGCGCATGTGTGTTTGTTTGCTTTTGGTTCCTCTATTCACAAGGGAATGTTTCTATATGTAACTGACACCATTCTTTTAGGTGGGCTCAGGGTAGCACCTGGCAACAACCTGTTTACTGCTTTTGCCCATTTTTATGTAACCTTTACTCTGATGTTCTCAGTTTGGGGCTCTTGTTGTTTTTTTTTTTTTTCTTTGCTCATTGTAAATGGTTGATGAAAGCAAACTAAACATATAAATCCTGTATAATAATAATAAGCACCTTTATAACAAAAAAAGTTTTTCCTGTGCATGTCCTTGCTGGCGAGATTCACCCCTCCTTCCTGTGTGGATCTCAAAAAATTCTAAGTTGTCATCAGAGGAAAAGGTGGGGAAAAACCATCCAATGGGGACAGTTATTCCTGTGACAACTCTCCAAGGTTTTCTTATCTTCTTTTGCATCTTCCGGACAGGAAGTGAAAGGACATATCCCCAGAGGACATAAGCGGTATGAAGTAAGCCAATAGTGGTTTTAAAGTGGATCTAAAGCTAAAGGGTTTTTTTTTTATCCTTAACTCATTCCCTGCATTAAAGCAAAACTTCACTCTCTCAGTCACCAAGGACTTTTTAATCCTTAATCTGCTGGCATTAGTAAATATATAGGACAGTATATCATATTTACTTGGTTTACTTTTTTTACATTCCTTCAGTTACTTCCTGGTTTCCAGGCCTAGGCAAATGATGTCATATATCACAGCAGTCTTCAGGAGGGGAGGGAAATTATCAGCTCAGCCAAAGCTAAGGGTAGATGGATTCCAGGAAGTAAATGCTACATGAATCAGCTGCCCTTACTCAAGATGGCCACTGCCAGAAATGCCAGGGGGTGTTTTTCAAAATGATTTCTTGGCAGAATAAACCATGGAGACATGGACAGATGGGGGAGTTTGCTCTGAATATTAACAATTAATTAAATAGCATTTTTGGTGTGTGGTGCTCAGATGCAGTGCAGTTCCACTTTAAAGTTAAACAATTTGCTACTTGTGCCCCATTTTCCCCCTTAACATTTTCCTGAGTCCTGTATTGATCCAGCACTGTGAGTCTCTCCTCTCTCTGTCTCTTCTTACAGGATGTTTGTGCAGCAGCGGGATCCATTGGATCCTGTTGCTGTCAGTCAAATACTGTGAGCAGAAAGCGGAAAGTGGGGCTGAGCCAGGCTGTGTGTGTCTATAGACACACACAGCCTGGCTCAGGAGCAAGCCTGTGCGTCTGTCTTCATGGCAAGCGGCTTGCTATGGTGGCAGACACAAAAGAGCAGCAGAGAGTGCCAGCGGTGGACCCCAGAAGAGGAGGAAGGGGCCGTTGTTTAATACCATTCCACAGAGCAGGTGAGCATAACGTTTATCATTTTAATTAACAATGAATTTAGAAATGCTTCAACTCTTCTCCACTCCTAAAACTAACATAAAAGATTGTTGGTTCACATATTTGTTAAAAGCATCTCTATATCCTCTGTGGATCTCAGCAGATGTTTGTCACAGAAATAATGCAGGGGTAGGTTTTTGATTCCACCTTTTAGTGAAATTTAATAGATAACAGCCAATTGGTTTGTCTCAGTTACAGTTGATCATTACTTAATAGTCAGAAATGGTATAATACCTGTCCATTATCCATTTTATAATGGTGTATTATGTTATTCTACAGAAAAGAAGACCAGAATATGGCTGCAGCAATCTCTTTGACGACCAGTTCTACATACTACAGCACCTCCGCACCAAAAGCCGAGCTTCTCATTAAAATGAAAGATATGCAAGAGCAGCAGCCCATTGAGGAGAGTTCTGAGGAAGAGCTGGACCACAACTTATATGAAAAAAAGGTAACCAAACCCATCTTCCTATCTTCTCATGAACCTACAGAAAGTTGTTGGGTAAGCAGATCATGTCATCATGGGGACAACATCAGTTCCAGTTCACAACTAAATAAATAACACTGTTGAGCTGTATTTACATGGCTACATATTGAACCCTAATGCAGTGTCTAAAAAATCCAGAACTTTTCTTTAAAAAATAAACAGATGTTTGTAGGGTCCGCATACTTGGAACCTTTATGTTACCAGTCTTCCTTCTTGGCATCTTGAAGGAGATGAGAACCAGGAGAAGAAATCTGCTGACTTATTACAACAGTGACAGTCAGCCATTGTGAAGTTGTGTAGGTGTGGAATTAGACATAACTTTTTTAGGGTTTCAGGTCCTTAGCTGCACATTGCATGCAAAGTGAGCAAAAGCAGTCATCGACTATAGAGTCCTTTCATATGAGTGGTCTGATCAGGTCTCCCTGATCAGTGTTAGTTTATGGGCGGGCAGGTGTAAGGGGACTTCTAGGTGCAAAAAGAAAAGGAAAAGGTTTTGAACTAAGTATGAAAGATTCGAGATTATAGGATGTATTTGGATGTACGTCTGTATACATCCGCCTGCCTATAGACCTAACGTGTGTCTGTTTGCCTCCGATCACAAGCTAGAGAAAAAAACTGAACGGACACAGATGACACAAGAAACGACCTCTATTCTGACAGCTTCGGTTCAGCAGGGGGTTTAGTGCACAGATCCCCTGCTGATCAGAACAGATGATCTCCTAGATTGTAAGCTCCCAGGATCAGGCCCTCCTATCCCTCTTGTATTGAACTGTATTGTTGCTGTATTGTCTCCCTTTATATTATAAAGCACTGAGCAAACTGTTGGCGCTATATAAATCCTGTATAATAATAATAATAATAATGATGATGTTTGAAAGAATACCTTGGCTCCATTCACAGCAGCCACTGTGTTATCAGTGTGATCAGTGCAATGCAGGTGCGCAAATCCCGGTGCATTGAACTAGTCACTTTTTTTATGTTACACAAAATGTATTGACCTATCAGCCAGTGTTTGGTGAATGCACTGCGCTGGAATTAGTCCAGCCAGCTGTACTCCTTTTTTTTTTTTTTTTTTTAGCAAATTCCACCACCACCACACTGCGGTGGTGTGAACCAGCCACACCAGATACAAGGTAATTGCCTTGTCTTGCAGTGCAGGTGTGGTGGAACTTTGCTGGAATGGTTAGTTCAACGCAGTCCCACCACACCTGGTGTGAATGATCTTTCAGTGATTTCCACAGCTTCTTATTTTAAAACTAATTGTCTTTTTTATAGTCTAGAAATCTACAACATGTATTTTGAAACTGTATACACTGCAAAGCTTACTGCATATCCTTACCTGCTTCTGTTCTGTTGATATTGAAAAAGGCCATTGCAGTGCTATTGCTGAAAAAAGTGGGAGAATCTACCAACTTTAATCACATGACCAATACCAGTGTAATAAGAAACATAGCACCTTTGCATCACTGTTTGTTTTCATCTGAATAAAGATGAATCTGCTTGAACATGGATGCCTGTTGCTTTTAAAGCCCTGAACACATTGGGAAAAGCTGTGCAAATATTCAACTGATAAAGATCTCTTTCTACACACAGCTGAACAGTAGTACAACTAAAGAATGCCAGCATAGAATAGTATTTCCCCAAGTTTTACTAGTGGTATCGGGCATAATTTCGTAACTAAAGGAGCACTGCTAGAAACAGTGCAAGAACACATTTAACACTGTAAAAACATGTAAAACTGTAATTAACTTTTTTTTTGCCCTATCAGACCAAGCTTGCCCTTATCTGAGTGACGATAGGAACGCTTATGGGATGTTATATCAAGCATATCTGATGTCAGAAAATCTCTGTCTGACCTGAGTGATCCCTTCTGCTTTTTACAGAGGGGAAGGAAGGTATTAGCAAAAGGGACTCAATTCACAAAACTTTAAACCCTAAGAGCTTGTTCACACAGGTGTCCAGGGTGCAGTAAACACAGGCAGTTGACCCACGGTTTCAGCACCCCCCCCCCCTCCTTCCCGGCTGCCTGCCCACCTACATGCAGCAATTCAACTGCACAGGCCTATACCCATGCCCAAGCAGATATGAAGCACCATTGGTCAGGCAGTGCAACCGCCAAGCGTGACCTATTCAAATAGATTGGGCTGCTTGGCAACCAAATACAGTGTGTGCAGTTGTGGTGTAGTGGGTCAGCGTTTTGAGGGTTAAAGCAGGCTGTGAAAAGGGGACATATCACCTCCTGATCACCAGTTAAATGCCTCTGAAAAACGATCTGGATTAAGAGCTGAAAGAACTGCCACATGTGTCAATGAGCCCTAAGACACCATGCTTTCAGCCATGTGGCTGGATTTGTCAAACCTCATTGGACTCCACTAAAATGAACTGTTATTTAAAAAAAAAAAAAAAAAGATTCCTTATCCTGGGATTTTAGCTTAATGAATTGAGCCTAAGGTATGCAATAATTTACTGTTCATTTTTTTTTCCTTAGAAAACGGTTTAAGCAGAAAAGTCTGTCCGCTGCCATCACGCTGCAGAGAGGAACACTTGTTTTTTTTGTGTGAAACCAGTGGTCTTTCTGCAAAGGTTCAACATTCCCCCTGCTAAATCAGACCCATACCTCTGCAGTCAGTAAAAATCATGTTCCCTGCTGATTGGAGAACTAATTAACTCTGACTCAACAGTGTCTTACAATAGCCATTTAATGCTGTAGAACACCAGCCTGTCTGGACACTGTGGGCACAATTTCAAAAGGTGTGTTGTAAATGAAATTCGCAACTCTTACTTAAAGATGACCTGTATGTTGGATTTATTGGGTCTTTAGAGACAACAAATCACAAACCTGGACAATTTAAACCTTTAAATGAAGTGTTGCAGAAGCAGGTATACCGGAAGGGTGTGTGGTATGAATTTGGGTATGGAAAAAAAAAGTATAGGTACCCTCCAGTGAAAACCACATGTTAAAGTGACCAGTAGATTCAGAGATATGGGGAGCCAAAGTCATATATAAATATGACATAAGATTACACTTGTAAATTCCTTTGTAAATCTACCTTCAAACCAACCAGCAGGTGGAGCTCTAGTCTTCTTTTTCAAGTATTCAGCTACTTCTGTTTTTCAGGTTGGCTAAAAAAAAAGTTCATTGTTTACAGACCTGAAATGAGTTCTCACAGTAGACAGCTATGTTGGGATGTTAGGACAAAGGGACCTTTAAGGCAAACTTCCCAATAAATAACCACTTCGTGAGCAATGCACTGCAGCAGATTAGCCTTTATTTTTCAGATTGGAGCCACTGCTCTGCATCCTATGAGACAAACATTGAGAAATTAAACCTCTAGATTACACTGTAGATAACGTATTTCAACACACCTTTTCTGTTTCTGTCTGTTGCAAAACCAGAGTCTGGAAATCTATGTTAAATTACATGTATAGGCAGTGCATATAAAGACATTTGTGAATTCAGCTTTAAAGTACATGTATAGGCAGTGCCTATAAACATGGGCGCTGGGCAAGAATACTAATAGCGCACACATCCCTTGGGGGGACTAGTTTGTATTGGAGGCTTGTGGGAGACATGAAACTCTGGTATGGCTATGCCAATCAACTGAATTATGTGGATTTGTGGCAGTAATAGGCTGATGTGAATTGAGAAGCACTTCTGTAGTAATGTCAGCTCTCTAAAGGATGTGCTGCAAAAAGGGCACTGTGGTATGAACGTAGGGATGTAAGAGGAAGAAAGCACTAGCTGTTTTAGGGCACATGCACACTTGAGCTCAAAAACGCTGCTTTTACAGACGTGTTTTTTTTTTTTTTTTTCCTTTTTCCTCTCCCTCTAAACACCCTTCCATACTATCCTATGTATCTATGTACACTATAGGCATTTAGAGGAGTTTAGCAACAGAGAAAAAATCCTATGAAAGTAGTGTTCGGGAGCGGAGTTTGTGACAAAAAAAATGCTCAAAAGCTCCTAAACGCTCGTAAATGTGTGTTAACGCTAGGTGTTTATGGGCATTTACGCATTAATACATGGTAAAAGGCCAGAATAAATTTAATATTCTGGCCAATAGAATGCATTAACACCAGACAATTGAGCGCATGCAAAAGGGCCTGTGTTTTTCTGCTACTAAAAAGGAATGGCATCATAGAGAATGGAGTGTGCATATGGCCTTATAAAAGTAACTTGGAGAAATATACTAGTAAAAGGAAAAAGTAGATTTTGCCTGGAAACAAACTTTAAGGCATACACAAAAAATAACTACCATACATGCTGAAGATGTTGTAAGTGTTGTTATTGAAGCCACGGGAGATTTTTGATACCAGTTAAAATATTTAACCTAATTTGTGGCACACAAAGAGGAGAAATTTTCAAGATGTTGTCATCTTTCTTAATATTCCTTTCCAAACTATTCCAAGTTTTTATGTTAAGTATAATACGTGTCACATCCATGTTTCAGTACTGGGTATTCCGTAGCAATAAATTTCTATTAAATTATGGGATCACATTTTATGTGTTCTGCTAAAAATATACTGAGCTAGATGAGAGATGAAGCTCTAACTTTAATACAGATCACAAGCTAGACTTTCCATGGCTCCAATTTTAGATAAATTAGGTGTTTTTAAGTTTCCAAAGGTTCAGTTTTAATTAATAGCAAAATGTTGGCTTAACTTTCCATTATGGAGGGATCATTTGCTTTTTTAGTATGATGAAATTCTGAGTTTTCCAGACACCCTGGGTCAAAAGTATCTGCCTTTGGTGAAGAGTAAATGATTGAAGATAATCACCGCTCAAGGCTGGTCTCCACCTGTATCACCTCCACTGCACACTAGCAGGTGCTGTCCCTGTTCATAACAGTTATCATGGTAGAGAAGAAAAAACAGTCGGCCGCACATCCAATTAAATCACCTTTATTTGGACATATTCAAAATAGACACTCAACAGTGTACAAAAGAGGGAACATAGCACTCCA